TATTCCTCCCACTGACACCAAGGTTGGGGTGCTGTACATTTGACACAAATGGGTCCTATTTTTTTTAAATCAAATAGCTGTGCAAATGTATTGGCATTTGTCAAAAGGTCACAAATAATACTGGTAATTAGAGTGAGCGAATCGAACTGGGCGAAGTGGAATTCGATTTCGAATATTAGGAAAAAATTCGATTCCCGCCCGAATCCGAAAATTAGCATACTTCGGATGCGCGAATCGACATTTTTCCAAAAATGGCGGCGACATGTGTGGCGACAGAGCGGGGATCTCTGGGAAGGTGCGCACACAAGGCGCGCTGACCCAAAATGCATTCATTCAGACCATGATATGCATTACCAATCAGCTGCCAACCAGCACTGTGGGTGGAGCTATAAATTGCGGCCATCTTACAATTCCCTCCATTTGCCTTCCGTCATTCATCTCTGTATTAGGGACAGAGTTAGGGCCACAGATACTTTAGGGACACAGAATCGTTACCACAGAATTGTTACTCAGGGACACAGAACTGTTACTCAGGGACAGACACAGAATTTGTTACTGAGGGACACAGGCGAATTGAGTTACTGAGGGACACAGAATTGGTTACTCAGGGGGACACAGAACTGTTACTCAGGACACAGAATTGACTCAGGGACAGACACAGAATTGTTACTGAGGGATCACAGAATTTCTTTACTGAGGGACACAGAATTGTTACTGAGGGACACAGAATGTTACTCAGGGACACAGAATTGTTACTCAGGACACAGAATTGTTACTCAGGGACACAGAACTGTTTACTCAGGGACACAGAATTGTTACTCAGGACACAGAATGTTACTCAGGGACACAGAATTGTTACTCAGGGACAGACACAGAATTGTTACTACTGATACAAGAATTGTTACTGAGGGACACAGAATTTTACTTTACTCAGGGACAGACACAGAATTGTTACTCAGGGACACGAGACACAGAATTGTTACTGAGGGACACAGAATTGTTACTGAGGGACACAGAATTGTTACTGAGGGACACAGAATAGTTACTCAGGGACTACAGAACTGTTTGTTACTCAGGGACACAGCAACTGTTTACTCAGGGACAGACCAGAATTTTACTGAGGGACACAGAATTGTTACTGAGGGACACAGAATTGTTACTCAGGGACAGACACAAATGTTACTGAGGGACACAGAATTGTTACTGAGGGACACAGAATTGTTACTGAGCACAGAATTGTTACTGAGGGACACAGAATTGTTACTCAGGGACAGACCAGAATTTGTTACTGAGGGACACAGAATTGTTACTGAGGGACACAGAATTGTTACTCAGGACAGACACAGAATTGTTACTCAGGGACATACACAGAATTGGTTACTGAGGGACACAGAATTGTTACTGAGGGACACAGAATTGTTACTGAGGAACACAGAATTGTTTACTGAGGGACACAGAATTGTTACTCAGGGACACAGAACTGTTACTCAGGACACAGAATTGTTACTCAGGGACACAGAACTGTTACTCAGGGACACAGAATTGTTACTCAGGGACAGACACAGAATTGTTACTGTAATTGTTACTGAGGGAACAGAATTGTTGTACTGAGGGACACAGAAATTGTTACTCAGGGACAGACACAGAATTGTTACTGAGGGACACAGAATTGTTACTGAGGGACACAGAATTGTTACTCAGGACAGACACAGAATTGTTACTGAGGGACACAGAATTGTTACTGAGGGACACCAGAATTTGTTACTGAGGGACACAGAATTGTTACTCAGGGACACAGAATTGTTACTCAGGGACACAGAACTGTTACTCAGTTGCACAGAATTGTTTACTCTTTACTCAGGACACAGAATACGTTACCAGGGACACAGAATCGTTTGAATTAAAAGATATGTCAGACAACGACGCAGAGGAGTGTCAGAGGAGGCCATTTTTTAGGAGCGAGCAGACGTGGCAGGCAGAGGAAGAGGTCGAGGCACAGGGCACTAGTCTGCAGCCAGAGGCCAGTGCTCCCGGTGGTCATCCAGCGGTCGTGTCTGCCGTCATCGAATTGTTTGGCTCGGTCACAGTCTTCCTCTTCCCAGTCACCTCTGACACCTACAGCCAACTCCGAATGGGTACTCAGACACAGACCGTTAGTGGCATGGCCCGGGAGCAATGAAATACACGTGTCCTTACCTGCCCCTGTCCTTTGTGTTCCCTCACCACGAAGTAACGCATGCTGTGGGCGCTTCAGCCCCACTGGTTACATTTGAAAGAGCTAACAGAGGGCGGTCAGGAACGGGGGGAGACATCCATCTCACAGCCAGGCGAACAACGTACTGGCGAGGAGAGTGGCTTGGTAGCCGGTCCTAAGAGACAGGTCTGCTCCTGACCCACACCGCAGGTAGCCCGAGGGGCTAGCTAGTGAGGCGGAGACCCTAATTGATGATGATGAGGCACGCACTTGGCAGCCTCGTCGTCATCAGCTATTGCTTCCGCACAGAGAAGAGGGTGCCAGAGCTTGGCAGCGAATTTTCAAAACTCGGTGGGGGAATTGCCCAGACATCAGCAGGGTCGCAGCAGTGTCATGGGCAAACCGGCCACAGTTACAGCACCAGCTCCACGGCACCTACCACCACGGCCAGTATTGGTGCCGGGGTGCACGGAGGACTGTAGCAGTCAGCCAGTGAATTGTAGTAGCGGGGACAAAGTTTTCACTCGGCGGGTGAGGCAATTTTTCGTCAAGCCCCCGCCCGAGGAATACAAAAACAGCCGTAATGTCGACTAAGAGGCCAGAAATTGTCAAGCGTGGCCAGGGGGCCCATGTCGCCATTCGCCACACTCATGCCATGGGACCACTTTCAGGCGTACTCCTCCCTCCACACTGCTGTTGGTTTCCATTTTGTCATAGGGTGCTGTGCATTTACGGGCCCTCCCAGAATTGCTGCTGCCAGGCCCGTTAATCTGCCATGGGCCCCCGTACCGCACTGCTGCCAGGACAGGAGTGTCTCATGGGGTCCCCAGTACCCTCCCATTGCTTGCTGTCTCCATCGCCACTACAACTCTGCCAATGTGTGCCACTTTCAGGTCTCCTCACACTACTGCTGTTGGTGTTTCCATTTTTGTCATAGGGTGCCTGGCAGATTACGGGCCACCCATTTTGCTACTGCCAGGCCCCGTAATCTGCCATGGGCCCCCGTACCGCCTCCTCCTCTATGAGCTGGCTGCCAGGCCGTAGTGTGTCATGGGTCCCTGTACGGCCTCCCCATGCTGTCTCCATCGCCACAGGACTCTGGCCACTTTCAGGTAATCTGTTGGTTTTCCATTTTACATAGGTGCTGGCAGATTACGGGCCTCCCATTGCTGCCAGCCCGTAATCTGCCATGGCCCCCGTACCGATCATGCTGCTGCCTCAGGACCCGTATGTGTCATGGGTTCCCTTGAACGGCCTCCCATTGCTGACTGTCTCCATCGTCGCCAACTCTGCCCATTTGCCACGTTCTCATGTCTCCTCACATAATGGGTTCCATTTTGTCATAGGGCTGCATTACGGGCCTCCCCATTGCTGCTTGCTGCCAGGAGGCCCGTAATCTGCCATGGCCCCGTAACCCACATCCACAACTGCTGCCAGGAGAGTGTCAATTCCTGTCTCCATCGCCACACACTGCCATCGTGCCAGCAACATTTTGTCATGGGTGGCTGGCAGATTACGGGCCTATTATACCCATTTATAATCTGCCCATGGGCCCCCGTACACTCCATGCTGTGACGTTGCTAACAAGTTACATATGTTTAACCTGCCTTTACGAACAGCGAAAGCACACCGATTTCCTGATTAAATGGTCCTCCCCTGTGTAACTTAGATGTCAGCCATTGGCAGCTCATGCGTGACACCTGACGCTTGCAAGCCAGAGGCCACGCTATTCGATCTCGTGAGTGAGACACGACTGTCATTCCCTACTGTTAACAATGGCTGGCCTCATGGTGCAGGTAGATACGTGGCAGATCTCAACGCCACATGACCCCTGTGAGGAAGAAGAAGGAGGTGGTAAGGAGGACATTGGGTGCTCAGACAGTGAAATGGATTCCACTCAGCGGACAGGAGTGGAGGAGCAAGAGCATCTGGAAACAGAGGACCCAGATTCGCACCGTGGCTGTAGTTGCTGTGGATGAGGGTAGGAGTCCCTCACATACTTGCAGTACTCCTAACCATCAGACAGAGGATGACTTTTTGCTGATCCACCTTGACCCTCGCTAACCGTTCAAAAATGGTGGCCTTTTTCACAATGCTGCTGATAACGTACTATAAAAACCACCTATGTAGTCATTGGTCCTCCCTTTCTGCGCCAACGTCCCATTCCTCAGACACTGTGGGCCCTGTGCGCTCCGTTCCGTATGCCATCAACATGGGTAGGAGCATGGCACTATAGCTGGGGCAGCGCGGCATGCCTCATCTGCAGCGATGCCATGAGTAATTCTTCACCAGCGCAGTGAGGACACTACTAACCAAAGCCGCAGCATCAGCAACAATGGACCTGGAGCAGGACCTCAAACAACAGGCTCGGGCCTACTTGGACAGCACCCTGCCAACCGAGTAGACAATCCCCTTGACTACTGGGCAACGAAACTTGACCTTTGGCCCCAACTAGCTGAAATTGCCCTGTGAAAGGCTGTCATGCCCGGCAGTAGCGTGGCATCGGAGCGCGTGTTTAAGTGCGGCAGGAGGTATTGTAACTCAATGCGGCAGACACGACTGTCCACCCAAAGTGTGGAGAGACTCACGTTTGTGAAAATGAATCAGGCAGTGGATTAGTCTGGATTCAAACCACCATTTCCTGACACAACTGACTAAATCCGCCATGAATCATGCCCCAAACATGTTATTATTTTAAACATAGGCCTCTGTATGGCCTTCAATTTAAGCTGCTTACGCTTCGCCACTCTGCCCATGGGCCCCTGTACCGCCTCCTCTTGCTGCTGCCAGGTCCAGAGTGTGTCATGGGTCCCTGTACGGCCTCCCATTGCTGCTGTCTCCATCGCCACACTCTGCCATATGTGCCACTTTCAGGTCTCTTCACACTGCTGGTGGTTTTTATTATTCCATTTTGTCATAGGGTGGTCTGGGCAGATTACGGGCCTCCCATTGCTGCTGCCAGGCCCGTAATCTGCCATGGGCCCCTGTACCCCTTACCCTCTCCTCATGCTGCTGCCAGGTCCAGAGTGTGTCATGGGTCCCTGTACGGCCTCCCATTGCTGCTGTCTCCATCGCCACACTCTGCCATGTGCCACTTTTCAGGGTCTCCTCACACTGCTGGTGGGTTCCATTTGGTCATAGGGTGCTGGCAGATTACCGGGCCTCCCATTGCTGCTGCCAGACCCGTAATCTGCCATGGGCCCCTGTACCCGCCTCCTCATGCTGCTGCCAGGTCCAGAGTGTCTCACCCTGTAAACGGCCTCCCATTGCTGCTGTCTCCATCGCCACACTCTGCCGTTTGCTTCAGGTCTCCTCACACTGCTGGTGGGTTCCATTTTGTCATAGGGTGCTGTATGGCCTCCCATTGCTGCTGCCTCCACCGCCACACTGTGGCTCCACACTCTGGTTTTGGCCCCGTGACTGCCCAAATGAGTGAAGTGTGCGGTGATTCTAAGATCGACGGCACTCATCTGCATGTCATACTGACTGACAGTATTATTTCTCTTCCCCAGCAGACTCCAAGGGCATTTAAATTACAGGTACAGTGTTCTGCACTAATATAAAGGCTCTCTGAAGCCTAGAAACACCCTTTTTAAAGTTAAATTCGCAGCGAATATATTCGCATCGAATCGAAATTTATTCCTCGAATTCGCCGTATCAGCCGAATCGAATTTTTGAATACTTCGCTCATCTCTACTGGTAATGTTTCTACTTGTTGACTTTTGCTGAGCAAATGTACGATTACCTAACATTCAATCCTAAGAGAAATAAGCCAAGGACATTCAATCAGAAGGGTTAAAGAATCATCAAGTGGAGAAAATAACAACGCTATCGGCTAAGAACATTCAACCAGAAGAGGAAATAATAAGAGGGAGACCTTTGTACTATACAATGTGCATGGAGATTGCTGTGCTCACCACTGACAGTGTAATGAATAGGTTACTGCACAAAGTGAACTGCTTGTATACAGAGTGGCTATAATGATGCAGAGATGGAACTCCCTTATGCTCGGTTCACACTGGAGCGACTTGGGATCTGACTTGTGAGACCCCAAGTGGCATGACATATGAAATCCCATGTTAGTCAATAAGAGCTGACTCTCTTAGCACTACTGAAGTCACTCCGACTTTAGAAAAGGTTCCTGTACTACTTCAAGGTGACTTCTATCTGACTTGTGCCCATAGACTTTAATGGAAGTCGTCCCCAAGTCGGATCCTCATCTATATTGATGCGATTTGGATCCAACATTACAGGAAGATTACCCTGGCGAAGTTGCATGGCATGAAAGTCGCGCATCAATCCGCATTAAAGTCATACTCAAATCGCCAGCAAATCGCCTGGCAAATCACAACGTAAGTCGCACGACTTTCATGTCGCAGTAGTGTGAACTGAGCCTAATGATCTGTAGCTCATCTGTGAAGGGTTTCACACTGTAAATTTTCCAGAGTTGTTACTCTGCAACATTGTATCTATTCTATATAGCAGTTCACACTCTGCTTTCCTTACACAGAAATGTCCATACAATCTGGCTCATTTACACCATTTGCATTGGGATGACCAGTGCACCATTGCCCAGTGCAGTTCAATACAAAGACAAGGCATTTTTCCTTGTTCCCTATGATGGCAGTTCACACCACTGCATTGTGGTAGTATATACTGAAAAAAAAGAACTGAATGCAGTACTTTTCATTGCGCAGCAGGCTTTGGTGGAAACCACTGCATTCCAACACTGCAGTGTGAATAGAACTTAATTAAAAGTCACTTGTGACATTTCAATAAAATTCTAACAAAACAAAACAATAAAAAAAAAAGAAAACAGTGCCATGTGCCAGGATTGACGCTTTTCAGCACCATGTCCTCCCAGCGAACACCAACAGCTGTGCATTCGTCCAGGTGCTGGAGTGAATCAGCAGTAATGCTTAATCCCATCTAGTAACCAAATGTGGTATTTTTCTATTTTAAATCAATCATTTACATTCAAACAACTCATAAAACAGCTGATTTACTTTGTGTTTTTGTCCCATTTGCACATAACAAATGTACATGAACTTTCACTGAGCAGATGGCTATGCAAATTCTTTCTAAATCAAACCCTTAGTTCGCTGTGCAGAAGTATCCCTCAGATTGATTCCCCTTTTGACTCAATGTAGCTAGCTTATAGTTCTAGGTAATTTCATCAATGTCCTTTATGCTAATTTTCTTTTAGGTATGAATGTTAGGAAAAGTTACATTTAGCCTGAGATGATAGGTAATGGAAACTGACATTTACACACATATTACAAGCATTATGGGTATTATGTATGACTTTTGTGACACTTGTTTTTTATTAATAGACTACAAAATGTTCCTGCAAATTTCTGTATAGAGAGAAAACAGGTGGCGCACACACCTAGTGCATTATCCAAGGTTTATTGTAGGAATGAAATAATAAAAACATACTCACAGACGAAGCATGTATCTAAAAAGCATAGAAAAATGACAATGGCCACAACGGCAGGCAAGGTGTTCTCACTGTCAGTGCGGTCAAATGGCTGACGCATTTCGGGGACGAATCCCTTTCCTCAGAGCTAATGACCAGCCTCTGATGCTGATGTATGATGTATGGACAGAAAGAGCCTCGCTGTTGATGCTTTTGGCTGTGCATATCCTGAGGCGCTGGAGAGTACATACGATATCCTGCAAATTTCTGTAATTTGACTTGGTTTTCACTACATTTTCTCCTGGTGAAATGCTTGAAGTCCTAACCCTTTTGCCGCCAAGTCTGTACATCCAGCAGACCTGACAGTAGGGGGTAATATACATAATCCAGTTAGCTGCATCCACCGGGATTGTGTATAATACTGACAGGCAGACTCCTGCCTGTCAGGTGGAAGCAGTCGGCCAATCACTTCCACAGCCCCCAATTCCCCCCCGTAAGCTCCTACCATGTATCCAGGCCCGCTTGCCCATCTGCGGGCCCATGGAGCACCATGGCAGGTTCCGGCAGGTGGAGGGGAGAGAGAAGAGCAGACTCACGTTGGCTTTCCTCACCTTCTTTCCATGACCCAGAAGATGACGTGTTTGACGTCACTTCCGAGTCACGGCTGTCAGTTTCCCCCGACTAGAATAGCCAGGCATACATGTATTGCAATGTGATCTGCAGTGCAATACATCTAGTGGAGCCCAGAGGAGACATGCAGAGCCTTTTAGACCCAGCATGTCTCAATAAAGAGAACCTGTCACCTACAAATCATCCCATAGGGGACTTTGTGTTCCCAACGTGATGAAAAAAAAAAAGTTAAGTAAGAAATTTTTTTTATTGCAAAAAATAAAATTACACCCAAGCACATATCACACCGCCCCAAAAAAAATTTTGGAGGCCCCCCCCAACCCCACATATATGCATGTACGAATGTAATCGCACATGTCGGGGCATCTACGTGTGAAAATGGAAATTACGATACACATATTACATATTGCTGGGCACACCGGAGTGAGAGAGCAATAATTCTAGCATAAGACCTCCTCCGTAACACTAAACTGATGAACTATAGCTGATTTTGAAGCGTTGCCTGTTGAAAAGATAAGGTACTGAAGTTTTTTGCCATTTCGTAGGCATCCAAAATTTAAGATTTGGCATGCTGGGTACCTATTTACTCGGTGCAACCTTATCTTTTATGTTTTACCCAAAATGTGGGTAATTAATTACATGTGATTGCCCTAAAATTCACTTTAGTGTGTGTTTTTGCTGAAATTTTTCAGTGGCATAAACAATTGAAACTACCATTATTTTATTCTCCAGGGTGTCTGCTTTCAGAAATATTTAATATTTGGGGGGTTTGTGTAATCTTCAGGCCTGAAGTAATTTTGTAAACATGTGTGCAAAAAATGCAAAAATGGCTATGGCAGCTAAAGGGCTGAAGCAGTTCTATTCAGACTGATGTAAAGACTACCAACATTAGTGCTGGTAGACATTTATGAGATGTATATAGCTAATGGCAGTCGATGAGCCCCTTTACCACAATCCATTCGAAAACCTTCCAACCAAGGTCTAAAATTGGTCATCTTAGCCGATTCTGGACCCTGTGACTCCGATGTTACTGTGCTTTCAATGTTTTCCTTTCTGTAAACTATTTTTTTTAATTCATGCGCACTGTGCCTTGGAACATGCTAGAAAATGTTCCTACATGTAGGTAGAGTTAATACCTTAGTCCAGTCCTCTTCCTCCTTGCATGCCATAGCCCTCTCCTCTTCTAGGAATGTCTAAGCTGATCTTACACCTAAGGAATTTTGTTAGAAAGTTGTCATTTTCAGAACATTTATTTATTTATTTATTACAGGTACTTATATAGCGCTGTCAATTTATGCAGTGCTTTACATGTGTATTGTACATTCACATCAGTCCTTGACCCTCAAGGGCATACAATCTAAGGTCCCTAACACACAGTCATACATACACATGCTAGGGCCAATTTATACAGGATCTAATTAACCTACCAGCATGTCTTTGGAGTGTGGGAGGAAACCGGAGTACCCAGAGGAAACCCACGCAGGCACAGGGAGAACATGCAAACTCCAGGCAGGTGGTGCCATGGTTGGGATTCGAAACATTGACCCTTAGTACTGCCAGGCGGAAGAATTTAGCCACTGTGCTGCCATTTGTTCAATTATCTTAGAGTTAAATAAGAGGATTCGACAATCAGTTTCAACCAGAGTGCACAAGAATGGAACATTTTTGTTGACCCTAATGGGAACAAACAAATTTGTAATCGTTGAATTCACTTTTTGCCCAGAAAAATCATAGCAGGTCTTATGTGCAGGCACTTGTCAAAGTAGTCTAGAAGCAAGATATTCCTTCTATGAAAATCAAGACATTGACATGGTACTCGAAAGAGTCCATGAAGGCACCATGAATGGTCAGACAAGGGATTTTTATACTTTCTCATCCAAAAGTTCAAACAAACTTTTACAGGTGTATGTCCAGTATTATTTACTGTGCTGGTTCAGCATTTCTGCCCCTACCCTTTACTCCCTACATAGCCTGAGTGACAGCCCTGAGTCTACTGGGACTGTTGACATCAAATCCAAGATGGCAGAACCCAACAGCATTAATATTAAACCTTTCCTTCACCTATCTCCCAAAATCCAAATATGAAATAAGATCAATAATAAAAAATAATCGAATTAATCCTATTCCAACCACATCAAATGAATAGTCCAAAATATTCCCAAATCAATAGTAAATAATAAAATAAAATAAACTAAATAAATAAATAATAATAATATTAATAAATGTCCAAATGTAATAAAAGTCCAATCAATCAATAGTCCACCAAAAATGTCTTAATCCAGTGTGTTGAACTTCCAATTCCTATTCCAATCCTCGTCGTGATACCTCGAAAAAAAATATAAACTACAATAGTGCAATAGTGTATTACCTTCTAAATGCCAAAACAATATAAATACCTTAACTAGTAGCCGACCGCAGATAGCCGAATGACGGCTGCACTGTGGCCGGCCAGTTCTGGGTGGACGTCATATGACGTCCTCCCAGAACGCGCTCTCCTGCGCGCCCCAGGGGGCGCGCACCCGGCGATCTCCGTGATCGCTGTGTCCTACGGACACAGCTGATCATGTGATGTGGTAAAAGGCCAATCACAGCGGCCTTTTACCACCTGATCAGCGGTGTCCAATGACACGCTGATCAGAGGGAAATGCAAGTGCCGGTTCTCGGCTGCACTTTCCTCACGCTGTCAGATCGTGAAGAAAGTACTGCCGAGAACCGGCAGTTGTCAGAGCGGGGATCGGCACCGATCATCAGGGCACTGATGATCAGTGCCCTGATGATCGGTGCCCAGCAGTGACACCCGCAAGTTCCGCTCACCTGTGCCCAGCAGTGCGCCCACTAGCTCCGCCCACCCGTGCCCAGCAGTGCACCCACCTGTGCCCAGCAGTGCCCCCACCTGTGCCCAGCAGTGCACCCACCTGTGCCACTCTGCAGTGCCACCTACCTGTGCCCAGAAGTGCCACCTACCTGTGCCCAGACGTGCCCACCCACCTGTGCCCACCCACCTGTGCCCACCAGTGCCACCCACCTGTGCCCACCCACCAGTGCTGCCCACCAGTGCCACCCACCAGTGCAGCCCAGCAGTGCTGCCAGTCAGTGCCACCAGTCAGTGCCCAGGGGTTGTGCCAGTCAGTGCCGCCAGTCAGTGCCCATCAGTGATGCCAGTCAGTGCCGTCTATCAGTACCCATAATCAGTGTCACCTATCAGTGCCGCCTATCAGTGCTGCATATTAGTGCCGCCTATCCGTGACACCTCATTAGTGCTGTCTATCAGTGCCGCCTATCCGTGCCACCTCATTAGTACTGCCTATCAGTGCCCTTTAAGTGCTGCCTATCAGTGCCCATCAGTGCCGCCTATCAGTGCCCATCAGTGCTGCCTCATCAACGCACATCAGTGAAGGAGAAAAAATACCTGTTTGAAAAATTTTATAAAAGAAACAAAGAAACTTTTTTTTTTTTTTCAAATTTTTTGCAATTTTTTATTTATAGCGCAAAAAGTAAAGCGCCCAGTGGCGATTAAATACCACCAAAAGAAAGCTCTATTTGTGAGAAAAAAATGATCAAAATTTCATATGGGTACAATGTTGCATGACCGCGCAATTGTCAATCAAAGTGCGGCAGCGCTGAAAGCTGAAAATTGGCCTGGTAAATAAGGGGGTATAAGTGCCTGGTAGGCAAGTGGTTAATCTTGTGTAAATATGGTATCAGTGCAAACAATGAATAAGTGCACCAAAATAAGATCCGATTCAACTGTGAATAACACGTGAATCATGCAAAAATCATTCCGTGTACATTCCAACAATAAATGAAAATAAAGTGAAACTAGTGTACAAAAAAAAAAAAAACCTTAAATAATTACAATAATATAAATAAAATAATACATGATCATCTAAATTCAATAAATGAAGTGAGACAAATCAAATGTATTAGTGAGCACTTCAGTTTGTATAGTGAACACTCCGAGACCACCTCCAAATAGTGAGATTAAATACCATTACCCTCAGGGAGTAATCACAAGCTTATCTGGATATTCTTGGTAAATTTAGCAACCACTTCCAAGCTTTCATTTACTTCAGTTGCCAATCCTCTATATTCCTCATAAAGCAAAAGGAGACTTATGTGGCATGTATTTCCAAGTATAAAGACATTTTAATAAAGTATCTTACATTGGGGTAATTCAAATTCAGCTTTGTGCCAAACAAACCAGCCTTAGTGTCTTTCTAGGTTAAGAAACCACGTTTTCCAATTTTCAAAATGGCCACGGTGACACTTCCGGTTTTGCGTGAATACGCCAGACTTCACGTCTCTAACGCGTTTCGTTACTTCCGGACTTCTTCTGAAGGGATGTCCAGAATGTGTACAAATAGTGCCCTTTCACACCATTGTGCGTCTTACTGTTATGCACCAAGCACATTTGGAATGGCACCCCAACGCATCTACAGAGCACACATGTACAATAGACATATGCAGTTCATTTTGATCCAAATTCAAATTTGGATTCATTTTTCGTTATTCGGACATTCTGATAGCTCTGATTTTCCCAAATGAAATTCGTCTGAAATTCAAATTCGAATCAAATTCGACTCGAATTCAAATATGAAAAGAATAAAATAGACTATAAAATAATAGAATAGAATAAAATAAAAAAGAATAGAATAGATTAGAATAGAACAGAAAATAATAAAATAAAAAAGAATAGAAAAACAATAGAATATAAAATAATAGAATAGAATAAAAAGAACAGAATAGATTAGAATAGAAAAGAATAGAATAGAATAAAAATAGAATGAATATAACTGTCTTCCAAAATTCGAATTTCGAGTAGAATACATTTGAGGTCAAACAGATTAGAGTAGAATAGAAATGAAATAGAATATACTAGAATAAAATAGAATAAAAAGAATATAACCATCTTCTGAAATTCAAATTTCAAATAAAATACATTTGAATTTGAATTCCAATTCGAATTCGGTCTAAATGAATTTAAATAGCATTGAATTTGAAAAGGAAACAAATTCTGAAAATGAATGAACTACTTGCCCTCCAGAGGGTTTATCCCCTTCCTGACCAGGCCATTTTTTGCGATATACGGCCCTGCAATACTTTAACTGACAATTGCGCGGTCATGCAATGCTGCACCCAAATGAAATTTACGTCATTTTTTTTTTTTTTTTTTTTCCCTACAAATAGAGCTTTCTTTCCACGGCATTTGATCGTCAGTGCGGTTTTTATTTTTTTTGCACTATAAACAAAACAAGACTGACAATTTTGAGAAAAAAAACTATATTTTTGACTTTTTGCTATTAAACATGTCTAATAAAAAAATTAAAAAATCAAATTTCATCATCGTAAATTTAAGCCAAAATGTATTCTGCTACATGTCTTTGCTAATATGTGTAAATTAATTGGTTTACTTGAAAGTTATAATGTTTACAAATGGTGGTATAGATACTGGAAATTTTTTTTTTTACTAGTAATGGTGGCGATCAGCGACTTATACTGCGTCGAGCATTCTGACACTGGGGGGAACTGACTTGGTGTCACTGACATCCCCAGTGACACCAATACAGTGATCAGTGCTAATACAAAGCACTGACACTGTGCTAATGGCACTGGGCAGGAAGGGGTTAACATCTAGGGCAATCAAAGGGTTAACTGTGTGCTTTGTGTGTTTTATTATGGAGTCCTGTCTGTGCTTTCCACTGTATGGTGTGCTTGAGGCTGGAGAGTCAAGGAGCTGATGGTTTCCAGTTTAAGCCTACGTGGTGGTTGTCAGGCATGGTCCTGTACACAAGCAATACAGACCTCTTATTTTTGAGATTGTACGTTTTGGTTAGAAGGTGGAGTGTATGTTGGAGCACTGGATCTGCACTATGAATCATTGGCCCTTGTAGTTCGCCCATCACAAGGAGTGTTTATGACATTCATTTGTGTTCATAAGTTGATTATCATTATACTGTGTGTTTGAGCAATTTATGACCTTCTACTGGTGTGACTATAATTACTGTAATTTGATGGTTATTATTTAAAGGGACAGTGCGTCTATTTTTTTTATTACCATTATATTGTGTTTGGTATCCTGGCACTTTATACTGTGCAGCGCCCCCTATTTAACACTTTGAACATACTTATTTGGAATCATTTATATGTTCACGGTTTACACTAAGCTTAAAATAGTTTACTTGTTAGATATAGGTAGTCTACATATTTTTTATAGCAAATAAAAAACATTCAAGGCAATGTTTAAAGAGAAAAAAAAAAAGCTCATATAAAATTGATCCAAAATCATTATAATTGCTTTTTACAGTAATTATAATACAGGGAACAAAGCCAGCAAATAATGAACACTGTAAGGATGTAGGAATTCAAGTCAAAAGTACATCAAATATTTCAACCCTCGGATTAAAATCTGCCCAGTTACTGAATAAGTGATTTAGCAAAATCTACAGAACAATTACAACATCTGCAGTATTGTACACTTTGTTCTACTGGCCTACTAACAATCTGGAAGATGGGCTTGTGCTCCTTGTATATTTAATATCGTTCAGTTTTGATAACTTGCATGCATGGCCAAACCTTTACATGCCATAAATGGCCAAGTCACCTGGGTGGCCTAATCTTGCCACGTGTGGGTCCATTTATCCAATGAAAATAGGGGCAGGCTGTCCATACAGTAACACTGATATCCTTCGAAGCATTTTTGCTGACTCTCACAACAGGCATCCAGTATTACTCCTATCAAGGCACAGCCTGCTACACTTCAGGAATGCATGGAGAAGAATACAGCATTTATGCAATTTCTGTTTGGCTCTGAATTTTTTTAAGCAATCGGTTTGGAAAAAAGAGAACCTGTCAGATGCCTGGGTTTTCATAATTAGATTTGGTATCTTTTATTAGACTTTGCTCAGTGTTAAAAAAAGTAAAGGATTGAAATGTTTTTTTTTTTTTTAAAATAACAATGTTCCTTGCATTTGCCAGTACCCCAGAAGTTGGCCTGTTGGGTATATTGAACAATTTTGTCTCACATACTCACTCTAGGATATTGCTACGTTTGCTTCTGTTTTATGCTAGAAAACTTGTTGAATTGGAAGAGCGATACTCCGGACTCTATATACCGTTTTTATTGCATGGTTAATCTCGTACTGCCCCCAATATAAACTGATCTATAAAGGAAGGGCCTGTCCTAAAAAAATTTACCAAAAATCTGGCAGCCTTGGCTAGATATAGCGGATTCTTTTTGAGGAGACGTTCTCTTTTCACAACCATTGTCAAAGGGTTCTGTGGTTTGAGTGGCCGGATTTTACATGCTACTGATTTCCTCTGATTTGTAAAGGAGTTGATGGTGTGGGAGGTTTGTGCTTGTTTGTCTGTGACTTTTGTATGTGTTTGGCTGCTTTTGTATGTTTCTGACTGCTTACCTGTTATGTTATGTTGTGATTATCTTTTGTCATAAGTATTGGGTTTCTTGCCTACGATAATTTGATGTTTGATTTTCTTTTTGTTTTTTTTTTGTTTTGGATCCCATTTTCTGTATTATGTACCCTTATTCTTTTAATGTTTTGCTTGAACTCCTGTTATTATTTGTCTCTTCCTTGTTCTGTTTTTGTTTGTGTTTCATACATGCAAAATAAACACCTTTGAAAAAATAAATAACACGTTACACTTAGCTGCTATGTGCAATGGTTCTTCCTCTTTTCAGGTTTCTTGCCAGCACTCCTGGTTCCTCGCACACAGAAGTGCCTACCATAGGAAGATGCTTGTCCAATGACACAAAGAGCACGGCTTGGCCCTGACACTTACCCCCTCTGCTCTCTGGCTAATGGATCAGACTGCTGCCTCTGTGTCCAGTGAGGAGGAGAGAGGAGGACTGCTGCTCTCTGGCACATTGCTGGATCAAGAGGGCTTGATGAAGTAAGGCGGTGTACCTGCCAATCCCGAGAACTTGTGGCAGGAAACCTGTTGAAATGAAGGCAGCTGGAAAGCTGCAAAATGTAGCATATCTATAAGACACGAGGTGTTATTTTTGAAAGCACAAAACAGTGGGGGAGGTGTTTTTTTGCCAAGCTGGCTACACATGGAAGCAGATTGTCCCATGATAAAGTTTTCTGAGAGCAATCATAGAAAAGTACTAACACAGCAGGGACTTCAAAAGACCACCAAACTCGAGTTTAAAAAAAAAAAAATAAAAAAAAAATAATATATATATATATATATTTAGCTTACAAAAATACCTTCTACTGCTCTCAGCCTCTTCCAAATCTCCAAATTCCATTTTTTTCTGCTATTATCCAACTACCTGTTCATCCATGTGGCAACACAGGAAGGAGCATAAAGCTGGCCTTACTCTGAGCAAATGTTAGCCGGTTCTTGATGAATTTTGTGTAACATGATCAACCTCCCTGGCGGTATGATTAGGTTAGGAATTTTGTACCAAAAGCGGTACCATTTTTTTTGCATGGAAATATGTATTTTTTTTTATTGTAGGCCTGTAATTTAGGAATAACTCCCTGAAATCTGTCCGAACAAGAGTCTAGTAAACATTCCGGATATGATAAAACTTGAAAGACGAAATCATAAATTATAATTTAATAAATACTCATAAAAAATAATAATATAATAATAATAAGAAATGTAATTCAATAATATAATCAAACCAAAAACACTGAAATTTGAAATATAGCGCCAAGGTCGCGCATCACTGAGCAAAGTCGCAGAATCGTTTTCAGTGTCTGATGACGAATTTCCCCCATGAATCATTATCACTCAATTCTGCAAGTAGTTCTAATTTACTATCGCTATTCTCTAGCTGGTCTAAAACCGATTTTGACCTAAAGGGATGCTTTTTGGACGCCATGGACTTTTCTAAGTTTCCAGGCAGAAAGAACAGAAAAAATACAGGAAGGGCACAGGACAAAGCAGTAGGGACAAAATGTATGTGAAATGCTTTGATACAGGAATATTTTGCTATGAAATAATCGTTTTAAAAAAAAATGTCATTTTTTTTAATTTTCAAATTTGCCGCCGGTTTCGGTGCCCGTACGTCCCGATGTCACAGGGAACGGAACACGGAAACCAGATGCCGGCATCATCACCCGAGGAGATGGCCGGGGACGCTGCAGGGGACGCATCGCAGGAGCGAAGGACAAGGTAAGCGATGTAGGGAATCCCTGTGCAACGCCGCATGGTAAGCCCGAGTGTAGCTCAGGGTTACCGCTTTTGGTACTGAAACTTTACCCCGAGCTACACTCGGGAATACCGCCAGGGAGGTTAATTCATATGATAAGTGCCATCTAGAGGTCATAATGTATTATTTTTTGGAAATACCTTAATTAGGAAAATAGAGCATTATGGCCACTAGATGGCCCTTACAATCATAGGAAAGAAACATATTGCACACATTTGCAATTTTTTTTGTAGCAGCCAGCTTATTGCATAAACACAAACAGTTGATAAATATTTGTGTTTAGCCTACAGGAAGGGGTGTAGAGGCAACATGTGCTGCTGGCTTGCTTTGCAGGAGCCAATGAGGTTTTCTAAGCTGTTTGATTGTTATTTTCTGCAAGCACCTAGAACTGTTGGTTACAGACCAAACGGGAGCAAATAAGGGAAGCTCATTGTTAGTATTAACATACATTTAATAAGGGAGCTGTTGGATTGGATGAGCCATGCCAGTAGAAACGAGGCAAGTGGAGCAGCTTCTCCTACCCCTTGCAATCATTATCAATGTCATTCAAAAGTATATGGGGGAGCAAAAGTTGCTATCATGCATGAGTTCCATTCTCCATTAAAGTAAATCTAAACCCAATCACTGAAATCTAATCTGTACTTTAACATGGTAATATAATTTCAAAAGTTTTTAATCCTTTTAAAATCCACAGCTTTCATTAAAATAATACCTGGTTCTAATCTTGCCATGAAGGTCCTTGTTTGAGCACTTTCTTTTAAGGAGTGGCAACTGTCTTCCAATTGTGCTCCCATGGTGTACCCCATCAAATGAACCCTGGTAGAGACTACAAGTGGCTGTACTGACAAACATATGGACCATTGTTGTCACTGTTTGGGTACATGTGGGACAGGGAATGCTTGGACCACAGCTGATTGGCTGGGAACTTAAAACTCTCTTCCAAGTTTAGCTGAATACTGGATCAGTTTGAACCCAAGCTGACCCAAGCTCATCCTTATTCACTAGCAAGCTAATCTAAGGCAGGGAAGGAAGGAAGCATTCAGTGCTGGGACAAATTAGGTCAATGATGTCATGAGCATCGCCACCCCTTTGCGTATATGCAGCTGTGGGGTGGGGAATGCCTGGATTGTCTGGGAATTGACAGCTTCCTTCCAAGGCTAGCTGAATACTGGTTCAGATCGAACCCAAGTTCATCCCTAGTCACTAGCAAGCTGATCCCAGGCAATGACGTGCAGCCAATGCTGGAATGAGTGCATGTAAAGGCTGCAGGTGATCAGCTGCCCTGAGATGCAGAAAAATGCGAAAAAGATTTTTACAAAATATTACAAAAAAAACCTAGCAGTTGTTTATCCGCTTCCCAACCGCCCTATAGCAGATATACTTCTACAGGGTGGCATGGGTGCGCAAAATCACGTATATATACCCTACCCACGCCGCCATTCGTGGCAGCGGCTGTCAATCACTGGGTCCCGGCCGGTGATTATTTGTCGGCGCCCGGTGATTGCCGAGCATCTCTGACAGGGAGGAGAACTGTGTGTAAACAATTCTCCTCCCTGTCAGCTTGTGCACACTAGAAGAATTATCCAAAGCAGTGTGATTACAGTGAAGCACAGACAGAAGTAAAACAGCACACAGTTAACCCTTTGATCGCCCCACATGTTAACCCCTTCCTGCCCAGTGCCATTAGTACAGTGTCAGTGCTTTTTGTTTAACACTGATCACTGTATTGGTGTCACTGGGGATGTCAGTGACACCAAGTCAGTTCCCCCCAGTGTTAAAATGCTCGCTGCAGTCCTGCAATCCCGCTATAAGTCGCTGATTGTCGCCATTACTAGTAAAAATAAATAATTAAAAAAAACTTACAGTATCTATACTGCCATTTGTGAACGCTATAGCTTTCACGTAAACCATTTAATTTACACGTATTGGGATTTTTTTGTAGCAAAGACATGTAGCAGAATACATTTTGGCCTAAATTTATGACAAAATTAGATTTTTTCAAATTTTTTTACTGGACATTTTTAATAGCAAAAAGTCAAAAATATTGTTTTTTTTCTCAAAATTGTCGGCCTTTTTTTTTTCTATAGCACAAAAAATAAAAACCGCACAGGAGATCAAATACCACCAAAAGAAAGCTCAATTTGTGCGAGCAAAAGGACATTAATTTCAAATTTAAAAAAAACCTAAACTGTCTGTGATGTTATCCTATGTCTAGAGTTGCTTTAGGGTTCAACAGGCTGAAACAATTTTTTCAAGATATCTGGTCAAAGATAAAGGAAAATATTACTCTAATCTCTTAGCTAAAATTCAATAGCTGGATACTGGTAATGAATGGGTTAACCCCAGTGTCATGAATGGGAGTGAGATGAATAAACATCAATGCTAAACAGAGCCTATTGCTTCATTGTTTCTGCTCTTTTGGAATCCTATAGAGAAGACACAACAGTTAAACACAATGATTTACATTGAAAACCCAGTGAACCATAATTGGGAGCCAATGACCTAAAGCTTGTTTGACCCCAAAGCTGTCATGTATATATACTCTGAGACACCATAAACAATTCTAGGAACAGCTATTCCAAACAAGCCTGATAGATAAAACAGGCTACCCACAGCACAACAGACAACTGAAACGCACAATTGCATGCAAACTAAATATTTATGCTAATTTTACAATATTTTCTTTTGAACTTTTGACCATTCATTCAAAATGCTAACAATAATATACAGTATATTGAAATTAAATAAATATAGGAATTTCCTTTGTAACAATTGGAGCACTGATGTGACCACACCTTTATCAAAGGGTCCATGTACAAAACATTCACAGCATTTGCACAGGCACCATGAATAGCTGTGAGCTCCATCTAGTGGCCATACTGCATTATTTTTTAAAAAATAAAATCATTGGGAGAAACCACTAGATGGAGCTGATGATCATAGGAGATAACCACACTACAAACAATACAGTGATCATTTGTGCTGTCTGTGTGACTGCTTAAGACATTAACAAGACAGTTGTTTTATTTATAGACCCCTTAGTAAATATTCTTCTGTTTTAGTTAATCAACTCCACTGAATCTGATTCCCTGATCTGCACTAAACAGTCTGGATAGATGAATTTGTATTTTGACATCCCACAACCGCAGCTGTCAGAAAACCCAAACATCGGATGCAGCTGATTAAATGTAGGCACTGTTCAGCTGAGAATTTCCTGCCCAGCTTCTTCATCGAAAGCCAACTAACAAACAAGGTCGAGCTTGATGGTTCCAACAAGGCCTCCCAGGGAACAAATTTTGGCAGATTCACCAGGAATCAACCAAAATTGGATCAATGTATGGCCAGCTTGAGTCATTCCCATACAGAAGTTAGTCTACAAGTAACTACAAGTAATTTTTGGAAATCTTACCAAAAGTAAACTTTGCTACTAAAGTCAACGTGTGCCTTTAGCAAGCAAAATTGAAAAAAAAAATCACCTTTTATTAACCGCTTTCCCCCCCCCCGCTGCCCTATAGCAAAAATACTGCTACTGGGCGGCAGGGGTGTGCAAAATCATGTATATATACATGATTTTCATTTCTGGGTAGGGGGTGCATACGCGCCGCCCTACCCGTGCTGCCATTGGCGGTCTCAGCTGTCAATCACTGGGTCCTGGCTGGTAATTCCCCGCTGGCACCCGGCGATCGCCGAGTATCACTGATGGGGGAGAGGTCCCGATACAATACAGATCTTTCCCCTGTCAGCTCCTCCACATTGTTTTGTATGGTTCTGCATAGCAGAGCCATACAAAGCAGTGTGCATACACAGTGAAACAGACACACAGTTAACCCTTTGATTGCCCCAGATGTTAACCCATTCCTGTCCAGTGCCATTAGTACAGTGTCAGTGATTTTTTTTTAGCACTGATCACTGTATTAGTGTCACTGGGGATGTCAGTGGCAGTTAGTCAGTCCCCCCCCCCAAGGGCCAGTATGCCTGCCACAGTCCCACTATAAGTTGCTGATCACCACCATTACTAATATAATTTTTTTTATAAAAATTTCAGTATACTGTATATAAACGCTATAACTTTCATGTAAACCAATTAATTTACATGTATTGGGATTCTCTTTTAGCAAAGACATGTAGCAGAATACATTTTGGCAGAAATTTATGACTAAATTTTATTTTTTTAATTTTTTTTTATTGGATATGTTTAATAGCAAAAAGTCAAAAATATTGTTTTTTTTTCAAAATTGTTGGCCCTTTTTTGTTTATAGCGAAAAAAATAAAAACCGCACAGGCAATCAAATACCACCAAAAGTTCCATTCGCGTATATATTCATTTAATTTGGGTGCAGGGTTGCAGTGTTGCAATTGTCAGGGCTTGTTCACACTTGACTTCTTCCCAAACACCCCTATAGCATTAGACAGGTGTTAGACTGGCGTTTTACAAGCGTTACAAATGCTCCCCAAATGCCCTATGTGCAGTTTTGAGGCGTTTTATAGGCATTTTACAAGGGTTAAAACCGCACCACAAACGCCTATAATGAACTTAATGGTATTAATGCCCCGCAAACACCTTCCAAACTGCCAGGAGTTTGAGGAGCATCACCATAGACTTGAATGGGAGGCATTGAAATGCTTCAACTCCCCCTGACTCAACATGAGGCGCCTATTTTGACGCGACGCTAACGCTTCAGTGTGAACAGCACTGTGTGCTGCCATGTGTATAATTTTCATAGGTGTTTGAGGAGCATTAAAAACATCCCTCAAACACCTGCTTTCAACGCTAGTGAGAACTGCGCCTTAAAGAAACGCAGCGCCGTATCCCAAAAAATGGCCTGGTCTGGAAGGGGGGTAAATCCTCTGGAGGGCATGTGGTTAAAGCAGCACAGAGCTCTGAAGAAACAGCACGGTATGCCGTTCCTTCAAAGCGCATGCGCTGGTGATGTTATCGACTGCAGGGACACTGAATATCTCCTAAACAGTGCATGTTTAGGAGATATTCCTTGTACCTACAGGTAAGCTTTATTATAACCTTACCTATAGGTACAAGTGTCCAGTGATAGTTTACTTCCACTTTCAACCCCAAACCAAAAATGTGTTATATTGCAGCTTACCAATCATTAGATGTGGTGGCTGCATCAGTTTTCTATTTTTTTGTTTTTTTTCCCCCTGCTCTCACCTGCTGATCGGGCCAGTAACACACCTCCTGTATTAATGAGACACCACTCTGGAGGAATGAGCACAGAACACAGCATTGTCAGTTTTGGGGGATGGAGTGTTAAATGTACTAGCAGATTTGAATACATCGTTTTATAAACAGTTACAGCAACAGTTTTTGTCTTTTGGTATAAAGGTTTCACATGAATAAATAAAAGCTGATCATCCATGTAAACTGACACATTCTGCTGGAGAGTTTGAAGTTCTGGTAAACAGCATAGTTGCTGGCAAATCACCAGATGAAAATAGAAGAAAGAAAGCCTAAAAAAGAAAACTAATGCAGCTATCACATCTAAGAATTGGTAAGCTGCAATATCATAAATGTTTGCTTTGGGGGTTTAATACTTAACTATTTTAAAATTCTTGTTTTTAAAATGCCTTGACTAATTTTACTTCACCAGAATAGAAAAACTGTGTTGAAATTACATGTTATAGTTTATGTTTATACCTTTTATAATTTAGATTTTATGATTTATAGTTATACATTTTTAAATGTAATCATTTCTACAGTTTATAAACTAATCTCTTACCTTACAACACTAGCACAAAATATTTTGGAAACAACATTAAATATAGATTCCTTCCATAATCCTGTACTTGCAGAGCATTCACCGTTTTTTAAATATGATTGTCCAGCAATAGCTTGTGCTGACTTGTGGACTGCCTGTCTATAACTGAAACTCTATACAGAGTTGGCAAGGGCTGTGTCTTTTCCCTGACCATTTACTCTGTGTGAAGCTGAATAGAAATGAATCATATGGGATCAACTTAAACTCAATATACAGCATAAAAGTAAAATTGTCTGAGCTGACTCTAAAGCTCCACCTGTTGGCTGCACATGGTAAATATAAAATATTAATATGCACTATTTCATATTTACTTTATAAAACAAAATTACAAAAACTATTTTAATCTTTAGACCTGAACATTTGATTAGGTGCACACAACTGTTTCAGTAACATATAATAATTTCCCTCAAACCATACCAATATGTAAAACAAATCTGGACATTAGGGCTCATGTACACTGCAGCTCCTAAACTGACGTTCAGGAGATGTTCAGCATTTTTTTCAGCAGCCCCTGAACTCTCCCTAATGTTTTCCTATGTGTCTATGTACACACAGTCGTTTACAGGAAGTTGAGTTTACAGTTGTGTTTTTGAACGCACCAAACTTGAGTTCAGGAGTAGATTTTACCGGCGTTTCAAACGGCGGTAAATGCTTGTAAATGCAGTTGACCGTGTTTATAAGCGTTTGTGTTTAGAAGCGTTTTTTAACTGTTCCATGTCCAGATGCTGTCCAGAGCCTTTTTTCATCATCACAAATGTATGCAAAGCATTTTCCATGTATTCAAATGGACCCAGTAAACCAGCGCAGTCAGTTCCAGGTTTTGTGAGAAGGAAAAAATGGTAGAACGTGCCGCATTATGCTCATAATTGGATCCATAGTGAATACAACCAGAAAAGACAGGTCATCTCAACACATACTGCTCTCTGCTCTGCTTCTGCTCTCTCTATTTCTCTCCAAATGTCTGAAATAGTAATTTTTTACTATTTTTCAGTGTATTCTGGACATTTGGGAAGGTCTCCTGAGGTTATCTTTTAAAAACGCTTCTAAACGCAAACGCATATAAACGCGGTATGCAAATGCGGCTAAACTGATGTTTTTAACCTACATTTTCCAGCAGTCAGTTTCCATCGTTCAGAAGACTTTCCTAACACCCCGTGTACATGAGCCCTAAATGCATATATATTTTTTTAAAACTTTCCTTGCAATCTGCCCTTAAATAGCAATGTTTAGCTAGTACATGTCCCCCATTGTGCTTGTAATCAGTGGGATTCCACAGCCTGTTGATTTTGCTTTTGTGTGCCACCTGCAAGTGAGGCTTGTCATTCAGCTTCTGTATACTTGTTCAGTATGAAGAGCTCCTGATAAGCTGCCATTCAATAAAGCTTTCTTGTTGCTGTATAAAAGCATTTGGCATCCTGTTAAAGAATGTGAGAAAAAAAATGTACATGCTGATTTGGATTCCACTTGCATGCACTTTAACATGGAAAATTCACTGTATTCATTAAAGAGGAACGTGCGGGAAAACATTATGAGACATGTTAAACTTTGTTAAAAACACAGTGTATGTTCAGCATGAATACTAAACACGGGCTCCTCGCTCTGTGAATCCATGAATGGCCTCATTAAAAGTTATTAACACAACTTATATATACCGACTTACATTTTTAACAGTAAAAACAGAGATTTGGTTGGCATGTTTTAATAAATTCTAGTGTATATGTACTACCATGAAATCTGCATTCCAGTGTTTGGTTTATGTTTGGCTGCATTAAAACTCAGTTCCACCCTACCCCCCCAACCCACCAATTCCGACTCCCCCACAAATTTTTTTTTCTTCAGGCCAGTCACAAGTCCTCTTCCTTGGCCTTGGGTGACCTTTAGTGCCCGTTCACATATGCGGATTGGATGCAGTTTGAACTGTATCCAATCCGCATGACATGTGAAATAATATTGCTTCCTATGGTGCCTGTTCGCATATGTCCAGTGCACAGGTAGTGTTGATTGAAAAAGAGTCTTGTATGATTTCTGAGCAGTGCTGTCAGGTTTAGGTGCGGATTACAGGCTACTGACCTCTATGGGAACCGTTTTTAAACAGCATACTGTACGTGTGAACAGGGTAAAATCCTGAGCTAATCGTGTCCTGAACCTGATGTAAACCTGACATGAACCGGTGAATTTAGTTGTGAAACCTGAGCTTCAATCTGCACCGCACATGTGTGAATCAGCTCTAAACGAGGCAGAGAGTGGAGCTGACATGATAACATTGTTGTATATTAGTACAGGGCATTATGGTGATGTTTTCTAGAGGGTGGGACCATGACACCCTGCACTTACAGGAAGTGAGATGAAAGACACCCAGCATTATTTAACCTAGATGAGAACTAGCTCTGAGTGATGGGTCTGCAAGAGACAGCACTGGGGAAGAGGTGAGTATTGCAGGGAGAACTACCTTTTTAGTTTCAAAGCTGCCAGGGGATACTTAAAACACATTTTCAATGAGGTGGAGTTGTAATGTAATGTAAGAAATGTGTAAAGAGAAAGGACTGCTGTACCTTTCATAAGACATGCTCGGTACTTACTGTGACATATGAATATCCTGTGATTTCATATCCAACCAGCAAGTAGCGTGTCTTTTCTCATATTTTGCAAGTTCACCTTAAATTTTGTTTCGACATATGTTTCGAGCTGAATAGGGAAGATTTAGTAGAGTAGTAGGGAAAATTGACTTTGTTTTGTGAAGTAAAGCTATGAGGCCATCTCTCAAGCATCTCCTGTATCTGCAGACAACACCATAGAAGTCTATTGGTATCAACTGAACAGACATGGCCAGCATAAAAAAAATATTTTGGCTAAATCTAAAGACTACCATGCACTGTGGGTGTTCAAATTAGGTAAGTATACATCTGGGGCAGGGGGTTCCTTTAGTTAAAGTGTTACTAAACCCAGGACCCTGCATTCACTATATCTGGTCTCCCACAGTACACATAACATGGAAGTGCAATTATTTTAGTAAATATAAACATAAAATAGACATATCTGGCCAAGGAGGTTCACATCCCATTGGCTAAGAGAGACATCAATAAAATAGCTAAACCAATGCAATCCTTGGCTTCCTTGGATTAACACAAGCACTTAAAGTGTTACTAAACCCTGCATTCACTATATCCAGTCTTCCACAGTACAAAGAACATGGAAATGCAATCATTTTAGTAAATATAAACTGCTAAATACCTTTTCTCATCAGCAGTTAGAGCAGTCTTGTGACTTCTATCAGTGTCCAGCAGAGCACTGGCTAAAGCTTGTAGGAGGAGTTTTTCTTTTCTGCTCTAGAAGGATGCAAAACCCCTTACATCTGTCTGGACAGTGCCGATTGGCCCTGTGCTGATCACATGCACTCTCCCAAGAAAAAAAAAAAACTCTCTAGTAATACGCACTAAATTTAGCATGTGCAGAATGGCTGCTTATTTGGAGATAAGATCTGGATATTTGAACAAGAGGAGGGGCAGAGAAGACAGGATCAAACAGCCTTTTTACACAATGCAGAGGATTAACCCCTTAGGTTCCACAGTGAGTATAACAAGCATGCTTTACTGCATATACAGACTGATTTTACTGTTGTGGGTTTAGTAACACTTGAAGGGGTGGTAAGCAAAATTAAAACTAACACATTAAAGGCTTGTTCACACCAGGAGATGTGTCTGAGCAGTGCGCTTCTTTGCACATTCCTGTGCATTCTCATGTGTTGTGTTTTGAAATTAACGGGCTGCCATATGGGGGCGAAACATATAAAAAAGGTGCAGGCATGATTTTTAAAAATCACCGTACCGTACATTTTGGCAGGCATGAATTAATGCATTTGTTAGATGTATCGGGGGTGCCATTAGGAAGCAATGGCACCCATGTGTGTCTGCAAAAGGCATCATGTTTTTGTGCTGTTCCAGAAAAATGTCAAAAAGCCCTAAAAGTAAAGAAAAGCAAGTAAATTTAACCTAGAATCATTGATTTTAGTCAATATTTTATTTTAAACCAATTGCTCCACCATAGTGGATCAACAAGCCAAAAAGAGCTAAGAGACAGGAATGCTATTCAGGGGGAAAAAGAACAGATTAGTAATAAAGTATGGGAACCACAGAAAGCAGCTATTAGAGAGTGTGAGAGTATGAAGGCAACAGAATGAGTACAAAACCAGTAAGGGTGAGATAGTGAGAACATGGGGAGGAGTGGAAGGGTGAGAAATGCAAATGAAGGATACAATGAGAGGAAGAGTTTACTGGATATTGTGTGGTGATTTGTAGTCTTGGCACTAAAACACTGATCTATGCCATGTATTAATTGGTCCTGGTCTTGCATCTCAACTAATTATATAAAAACTTTGCTATTTGAATATCTCAAACATTATCTCAGCTGTCTACATAATCCTGTATTTTGCCTAAGAAGCTTGTTTCCTATGACTGTCAACTCCATCTAGTGGCCATAATGCTGTACTTCCCTGATTGAGGTTAGGACCTGTAGGAGACATATGGCACCGCTCCAAGCCAGGAAGCACAGAGAAGTAATCACCCGGTGACTGAGGAAAATGGGAGCAGCATCCACTAGTGTTTCAGAAATTGTGTAAGATCAATGGATGGATGCCACTCAGACCAATCCCGGGAGCTCAGTGTATGTGAAATGGCCTCAGCTACTGCTCGGAGCATGCCACTGATGCATTTCGCCCTGCCCACGGGGCTTGATCACAAAGACGCCTCTGTGATCAAGCCCTGGTGGGCATGGCAAAACTCATCAGTGGGCATGCCCAGAGCAGCAGCTGAGGCCATTTCACATATACTGAACTCTTGGAGTCGGTCTGAGTTGCATCTATCCATTGATCTTACACAGTCCCTGATTGAAGTATTTCAGCAAAACAAATACTGCTTTATGTCCACTAGATGAAACTGAAAATCATAAAAAATAAAAATATTAGGCAAAACATGGCACTATGTGATGTTTGTTGGGAGTATCGAAAAGAGTTATTATTATTTTGGAGAGTCTGAGCCATTATTGGAGGAATCCATTCTGTGTCTTGAAAAGGATCTTTTCCTTGGAGAATTATATACCCAAAAGCGCAAAACGCCAACCATGAGAATGTCTGGTGAGTGCATACCTGAGAGGGGAGCATGGCACAACTTTAGATTGCTTCACTAATATTCACGTGGTGATTATTGGAATATGATTATGAAGTAACTTCACGTGGTGATCACAAAAAGGACTGAATTATTTGGACTTTTCATGTGTTTATATATACTTTGAAAATCATTTGTTTGAGTTTGAGCGCCACATTAATATTTTATACTTTATAGAATATTATTTTGATGTTTAAAACATGGCACTATTTGTGACAACTGAGCCAAGGTGTAAGACATCCACAAAGCAAATTTGTTTATACCTAGACCCCTAGGTGAAGAATTAGCTACATTTTAAAAAATACTCATTTTTAGATTAACTGTTCAGTGTTAAAAACTGGCCTAATGTAGTTTGAAGTTCAGCCAACTCCACCTAAATCCACCAAAATTTCAGCTGTGGGTGTCCCTGCCGGCACCACTCGGCAAACCAAAATTGGAAAATCAAGGGAGTCTACTAGAAAATTGTTGACTGAATGACAGATATCCAATCAGATGCAGAAATTGTTTGGGTAATCAGACTGCCACAGGTCCTCCGCCATGCTGTCTAGAGTGGATGGGGAAATTGAGTAATTTATCTTGTTCAGCCTGTGGGGCTGAATGAGAGAAATCTAAATAAGAATGGCTAGGCCTAGTATTATATGGCAAACCTAACACTTTGTAAACTACTGCTTATCCATCCATGCTTACTGCATCTAAAGACAGGACTGGCTAACCATGATGCCTCTGCAAATGATAGCGTAAGCTGTCAATTACCACTTAGAAAACTTGCCTCCTCATGATAATCATTTTCTTTTGAAGATGATAGGATTCTAGAAAGTCTTGCAAAGAGAATTTACTACTCCCAAAGTAGTCTTCCGACATAGAAGATTTTACTGGTTCCACCTCTTAGCTTTATGGACCGTGCCACTGTTTAGAGCCTTCAGCTTATAAACTTCCATGGAATGGACATGAAGATTCAGAGCTATAAAAATAGTTTTGTTTCTTAACCCCATTGGGAGGAGGCTAGCTTTGCCAAAACACACTTAACTATGTAAAGTGATTTCAAGTCCTCCTAATCTCTCCATCGAAAGGACTAGCATTTGGGTCTTGTACTGCAGTTTAACAGAACCTCTTCAGAACTAAGTTTTTCAAAATTAATTGGACCTAGTTGAGGCAAACAGCTACATAGAAGGGGGACTTGCGTCACTCATGAGGAACAACATCAATCTAATTGATTCTCCAGCTACAGTTATTACAGTATCTACTTTAAATCTGGTACTGAAGGAGTATTAGAGGACCATTATATGCTAAGCTATGGAAAGTACAACTTAGTGTACCCTAAAGCTGGCCATAGACATCTATACAAACATTCATATACAAACTTTCTCATTCAATGACTTGACGAATGTCATTTGAAAGTACTTCAAAAAGTTTGCTTGAGACATTCAATTTTGGAGTGAATGGACTTTCCTGAATGAAAACAACTTTCACTGCAAGAAATTTGTTCATCCAAGAAATATTTTTCATCCTGCTCTATTGAATTTTCTCATCACTGTGATCAAAAACAAATGTGGATTTGACCCCACTAACCATTAGAAAATCAAAGGAATGTTTTTTAAAACAAACCTTTTCAATATGAATTCTACAAACGTACGACCAGCTTAAAAGAGAACTGCAGAAATCTAAAAAAAACAAACATTTATACTCAACTATATGGCTGCAGCAATCTATCTGATGCTGCAGCTGTCCCCTGCCAGCTCTACACCAAGAACTGAGTAATCAAAAACCACCGTTCTCGGGCTTCATTGAGCAGTGAGCTGGTGGCTGTCAGTCACCGGCTCTCTGCTCTGCCCCTCTATTGTTCACTTGGCTGGCTCAGGCTCTCAGCAGCATGCTAAGTGGCTGAGCCTGATGTTGGTCAGGCATCTGGGCGGATTCCAACATTGTCGGGATCCCTGCAGAGCCTGGACCAGCTCCATGATGTTGTCGACAGCAAGCAGTGGGGGAGTGAGGAACAAGGTAAAACTTTCTTCTTATTCTTCTTATGTTGAGGGCCTGTCCATGGAGGAGAGTGGAGGGGTGCACAAGGTGATGGGGGAGTAAGGAATAAGGTAAGACTTTCTTATTTACCTACTCCATACACTAAAAAAAATGTTAAATGTTGCTGTGCAGGAGGGAGAAGCATCTGAATGCACATAACCTATGTTGGAGCAATATGTTGAATCTCTAATGCCACTGTAGCGTACTATCCTGCGTTGTGGTGTGTTAAATGGCATAAAAATGCTTTAGGTCCCTTTTCTGTGCCTTGCCAGCTCATTCAAAAAAATACAACACAAAAGTATAAAATAGCATTTAGTTGGTTTTAAAGAACCTGTCTCTACTGGAGAGATTTAACTCTTTCTTATAGTAGCTAGATTTTGTTTACTTTTTTCTAGCACCAGCTGTTGGCTTTCTTGTAGAAGTGATTTACAGCCACCTGATCACCTCTACATGTACTGTAGGTGCTGACTTGTACTTTGCTTGACCCCCCCGCCCCCAACTCACCAGCCCCTATCCCTCCTGGGTGGGGTAGATGTTCGCTGATCTCCCCTTTGGTAGTATGGATCTGGAAGCACTCAGCTTTGATCATTTCTGGGTCCTTGCTCAACCATCTTCAAAAGTGTGCAGAGGTGACATTAGGGGTTTAATAGATCCCTGATATCTCCTTAACCAATTCAGCTCTTTGGACGTACTACGCATTGGACGTACTACGCATGTCCAAAGGTTGAACCTTGAAATACCAGCCATCATCTTGTGTGGGTTTTGTTAAGCCTGCTCCCAGCTTGAAAGTGAAGGAGAAAAGTGATGCGGCAACACCAAAGGCTACTGATTACTTTCACAGAGTTGGCAGCGCTGTGCCCCTCCTGCCAGCGGCCCCTCTCCTCCTGTGGTTCCTGGGCTCTCCTGCTCTTACCCGGGAACACAACCGCCGGCTAGGGGAGAGAGAGCACTGTGAGTCCAAAGCAAATCCATGCCTCGATCTCACATGCAAACTATGAATCTATCTGGAAGTGATGTCACTTCTGGATTCAGATGGATCATTTCCTGTCTGGTACAGTCAGGGGACACATCTAACAAAGCTGATCTGTGCTTAATTAGATGGTGTGAAGAGCAGGGGAGACACTGGGGTCTATTAGACCCTGAATGTCTCCATAATAAGTACCTGTCACTTGCCCACCTGGGGGTTTATTAATGCCTTGTGATAGCAACAAAATATAAATAAAAAAAAAAGTTTCAAAAATAAAATTATAACAAAATATATTAAAATA